CCTTATACAGCAGGAGACATGAGGGAAGAAGCTCCATAAGCTACAGTATTGATGAATCCACGATTAATGCACATAAAATATTCATTGGATGATCCATTAACAAATATGGCAGCAATACAGAGCACAGGAAGCACATCTTGGCTGCTTATGCATCAAGAAATGATAAAATGCAGCACAAGTGAGTACTCCTTGTATGTCTGACATGGGGATAAAGGATATCATCGGTTTGGCTGCTCAGTGCATTCCTGGAGTACTTCAGTGACAAGTTGATAAAATTCAAAAGAAATTCTGCATCCACTTTCCCTCAGCCCACCTTGTCTACTTCTACTTTGGATAATTATCTCCTATATTTCCCAGAATTCCACTCGACAACCCCCGGAGAACAGGCGTGAACTTGTTGCATCCAGCTGAGTTATGTATACTGTATGTGTGGGTAGAATCAGCAATAACAATAGAGATAGTAAGAGCAAGAGAGCTGAATTTTTCTACTCAAGAAAAAATGAGTCACACTCCTACTCAAAACACAGCGAGCCTTGTGGCGTGTTGTCGATGGAGAAATGGGTATCTCTGCTTCTTCTTTGGATTATTTCTCCATCTTTAACTGAACATGGGGAGCCAAGAAAAACAAATTTTCATCAATTCTGAAGACCAAAAAAACTGAATTGAAAAAATCTCAGCATGAAATAATTACTTTGTTCAGTTACTTGTACAGTTCAGAAACAAACAAAATTGGTCCAGAAATATAAAAAAGGGTCTTTCCTTTTTTGGTCATATGCGGTTGGACAGAATAAAATGTATAGACGATGATGGTGCAAGGAAACATTTCAAGGGGATTATTACACTTATTATTTGTACCTGTTCATCCTGCGGGAAGCACACATGGATGCCACTTGCATGGGTTTTTTTTCACTGGTATTACCAGTTAACCTACCAGTAACCCTGACTGCCAGTAAACTCAACTCTGTGGGGTCTAATGTTGCAGGCTAAGTGCTCCTAAAGCACAGATGCCAGGAAGTGAAAACATAAAAAACACACAACTGTCGCTTTAACAATCAAAGTGAATCATGTCTGAGAGAAGTGCTGAATATGAGATGTGTAAGAGTGGAACACAACCATAGACTGTATACACAACCAGCCCCGCGGCTATTTGCAGACTTTCATCACAGGTTTTCTTTACTATCCCTCGCTTCCATCCCATCAGAAGGAGCCAGTGAGGAACGGATAGGCTGATTCCCCCCCTCGTACATTTTACTCTCCCTTCCATTACGGCTCTGAGGCCAACAAAAGTCGACGGCATTATGTCATGGCTCGGTTCTTTCAGAGGTGTCCTGAGGGAGTTGCACTCTTGGCAAGTGTTTCTGTTTGTGTGGAAGTGGGAGAGAAAGTGTGTGTGAGAGAGTCTTCTATATAATGTTCATACTAACATTACCATTGGCTGACGGGAGAACAAAGACCTGTGTTGTGTGTCTTGGACATGGTTGCAGTTTCTAATAGGTTATCCAACACATCAGCAGTAGCTTCCCCAGCTTGCTGAGACTTGCAGTGGCATCACATGATGGAGCAACACCATCCCAACTCCCACTCCCCACCCCCTTGCAGCAGGAGCTCAAATCCACTGTTCAGAGCCCACACAACTCGCTTGCTCAGACAAACACCTCATGCCTGTTATCTCCTGTCACCTTGTATCATGCTTAGCTTCTTGTAGTAACTGATCAGTTGACCTGTGATCTTTTACACTAATCACAACATCTTCTTGAAAAAAAGTTCCTGAAAAAAAAAGTTTTGTTCCATTGGATTGAAAAGAACATGCAGGAAAACCAACAACAATCTTCTCAAAATTAACTATACTGTTACTGGATGCTCAAAGCTGAATGCTATTGCCTAAAGAAGAGCTCACGTTTGGCTATAAGCAAAGAACACCATGGTTGCATGATTTCAACGTCACTATCACTGAGTAAATACGTTTCGGAAAAAATTAAACACCTATCCAAATAGTTGCAGATCCTTTGTAAAGCAATTTTTTGACAACTTTCTGTTACTGTTTCTAAAACCATTCTTTCAAAAAGTCTGACTCAATCTGGTGACATTATTTGAATATTTTGTTGAAAAATGATCAGGGTTGCACTCTCTTATTGGATTCACCGGTCGTTTTGGCTCCTAGTTAGATTTCTTTAGTTGAGTACATTTTTCCTCCAAGAAACTTATGAAGACTTACAGAAATGCTTTTGCATGATTCTTTGAGGACGAACCCAGTTTCAAAGCTCTAGAAAGGATGAGCTTGAAAAAAAAAAATGAAAACAACAGCTGCCATGCCCCTATCATCTTGGTTACCTGGAAATAAACTAATCCGTCACTGCTCCGGTCATTTACCTTGGAGACATCTTATAACGCACTGGTTGTACTGGATGAATCGCTTCCTTGTACTGAATTTTACACCAAATGTGACTTTTACTTGCGCAACACAATCTCCAAAAACATGACAGCCCAAACGCAAAAGCCAGCAGGCATCAGAGTGGAATTCAGTCGAGTAGCCCAAACTAAATACCCCGGCTCTGCTACAGCGATTCAAGAGAGGCATCTGGACGCAGCAGATTCAGTTTTCCCCCCTTACTCTCATTCACTTCGACAGCCGATGACGTTAGCTCCCCTGGCTTGGAATCTGCAACTGCTGCCAGCAAGAGTTGTGAATGGACACACACACACACACACACACACACACACACACACACACACACACACACACACACACACACACACACACACACACACACACACACACACACACACACACACCTCGTCAGAGCAGCTGGGTTCAGGTTACATTTAAACAAAAGAATTCACCTCCACACCCCTCATCTGCTAACACGCACATCGATCTGAAGAATACTCTGCTATTAAACCTGCTCACCTTATGTCAATATGTCAGCTGACATTAATAAGGGCAAATCCAAACAGATCTCACTGAAACGAAAACAGCCAAACAACTTAGCAGAACTTTTTTTCTTTTTTTATCTGCTGTGACCCCCAATTTCCTCAGACAGTGGAGCTTTTTAGATTTCCTGCTGCTCTGACATTTTTTACATTTAGTTTACAGTAGCCTACTGTGGCCGTCAGATGATACTCAGATGATCGTGCAGGAGTTTTATTTCACTGTATACTCATCATCCATAAAGTATCTTCCACAGAGACCGGAGAGCAGCGCCTGAGGAAGATGGAGCTCGGATGGCAGTAGCCCACTCAGTCGGTTATGTAACGATCAATTTGATTAAATAGCTTATGGGCTGCGTCTAACGGATAGCATATAATATAATGTGGCTTTATATAAGAGAGCGGTCACTTTATGTGATGGTTCAATATGATCAGAGCAGCTTCTTTTAGTCGATGAAAATCCACGAGTTATATTTTCCACTCTGTCATGGAACAGCATATTGATTGTAAATCCCCTTTGATCCTAAGTTTTAAGCAAGTTGGTTTAATCCCCCATCTGTAGGTTCCTCTAATCAATGAAGAGTGCTCACAAAGTCTTGGTGGTAAACCCCAGACCAGCACTGTGTGAGATCGGTCTGACACAGAGGAGCCAAAGAGCGAAGGGAGCTGGCACGGGGCCTGCTTTGCCGCTCCTGGCCTGGGGATATAAATCAAATTTATTTCTACTCCACTTGCACTGTTTTACTGATTTGGGAGGTGTGAGGACGCTGGCATAAAACATGGCAGTGGAAACTGGGCCTTCCTGCTGTGCGTCTCTGGGAGCGTTTGGACAGAGGATGCATGCCTCTTACTCTGGCTTGAGACACACTTGCATAAACAAACAGGAATAAACACTCTTTTATGCACTCCATTCACATTCTCCCACTGTTGCTGGTATGTGGCTGAAAGTAAGCCTCTGTGTATACTATCATCTTCCATACATGAGTGAGAAGTCACCACCAGCACACAGGGATCTGTTTGGCTCTGGGCCCTGTAAGATAAAACCCCTAATGATTCACACAGTTTAAAGGACACTCAACAACCTGTGAGACATTTCAGTGTGTGCAGTGCAACAAATGTGAACGCAACTGTTGATCTACTCTCTTTTGTAGGGCCATTGATAAAGTCATGTTTCAGCTATTAACTCAAAGACCCGTCTCATCCCATAATGTGAAATTGTAAAAGGCCCTTTCTCCCACACACAGGGGGGAGGGACTGGGTGAGCACCAATGGAGCTGCTGGGACAAGCCCTATCTGTCATGGGTCATTAACTGCTCTTATTAATTCATGAAGCAGAATTCACCCGGCCCAGTCGTGCTCTTCCCCCCGTAAAACAAAACGTCCAGATTGACCCGGGGGTAAAACGCATTCTTCGTTAAGGGTTTTGACAGCAAGTCAACTTCCTGTTTCACTTCATTAATCCATTAGTTCCCATGAAACTCTCCCCGGCCTCTCTGGCAAACCTTTTTACTCCCTAGTATGTCATCATGTGAGATAAATGGAAGGAGGCGCACAGTCTTTTCCTGCGTCACCCCGCAACTCCACAGAGACTGTTGCCACATAAAACCACGTGCTGCCTGCAACCAAAGTTGTATGTGAACTTGTTAGAGAGTGTGCCTCCAAAACTGAGTTACTTAGATTTTGAAGTTATAGTTAAAGGTTACATGATTTATATTTAAAGTATGACACACACATACAGAGTTCCAAGGAAGAATGAGGCTGCTGTTTACTTTATTTGAACCCCCCTGTACACAAAAGGTTCAGGGACCTCCAGAAGACTTTAAGGGAAACAATCATGGCATCAGACTAAATGATGTTACCTGCAGGCCTTCTTTCTGACCTAATGACTTTAGGCTTGTCTTCTTCAAAATAGCCATTTATAGCATTATATACCCCAATTTGTCACACTACACCCTGGCCTTCTCATTGGACAGCTACACTGATAACCAGATTCTTCCTCTGCAGGCCCCATACACCGATTTCAACATCAGTCACATCATTAGATCACGGTTCAAATGGCAGCAACTCTTCAACCATGTATTCCATGTAATCAGTTTGTGCCTCAGCATGTAAAATGTTGCGAAAGAGCGGCTTCATTTGCACAAACAGCGAAAGCGGATGTGGGAGGCAGAATACCCCACCTCCCATGCATATGTGGGATAACGCATATGATTTGTCAAAATCAGTGAGAATAAAAATGATTCACAAGATTGATTTAAGGTTATTTTGATCAACAGAATAAAAACGTCCAATTAGATGTGTTGATGGTGTCTGTGCTAGATCATACGAATGTGTTTTTTTCCCCTCTGCTGCATCTGTAGGATTTACCTGCTGTACTGAGCCTACAGTCCGCAGACGTACCTACTGCCGTCATCATTACGATTATTCCCACCTTGTCTGCATATCGAGCGCAAATATGACAGGCCTACTTACTATTTGCACTTAGCTTTTTTTTATGTGGCAACTTACCCTCTCTCGCTTTTAGCAGTACAGTGTTGGCTACTATGTTCTCCAGCTCCATCAAAAAAAAATCCTAAATGCAGGGGTTTCACAAGGGTCTGCAGCAAAAACACCGTCCTTTAGCTTGTACGCTGTGTGTATTCTCTTCACTCCTTGACGGTATTCGAGCAAATTTCACTCATATCAAAGTCGTAATGGATTAAACAGGATGTCATAAATGTGCTTGCAATGTAAGCCGAGCATGGTTCTTGTTGTGGTCTGGAAGTGCCGCGCTGCATTTCTACTCCAATCCCCCCAAAACCATTCCATGCGTAATTTGGCTGCAGTCTCTCCGACGCAGAGAATACTCTAATTGGAGGCACCGATGCAAGCGATTGAAGCGAACCGGGTTCTTTACAGCGGATTCTTTACAGCGGTACACCCGGACACTACCAGCTTTACATTAGAACGACAGGGGTTGGTTAAGCGAGGACATGAACGCGCCCCCCTCCCCTGTTGGTGCGTAATCGAAATGGGCTGGGCCTCTCTGTGAAAGCTGCGTCAAGCCAGAGACAGTAACAACTCTACCGGAATCGAAGCTAAATTGTCACCAAAATAACACCTTGTACTATTTCTTTTGGCATTGACCTGTGGTGCATTGAAGCCAGAAACAGCAGTTGCAGGATAAAAAAAATTAAAAAAAATGCGAACACAGTAAAAACTACAGCTTATTTTTCTGTGTATTCCTCTCAATGGATCTGTAACAACTCTTCACATCAGTAAAGCAGCCATGTGAAGCAGCACAGGTGTTTCTACTTGTTACCTGATTAGACCTCCTACCAGTAGGGGTCAAATCAGGTAACAAGTGACAGAACCTGTGAAGGAGGTATTTGTCATGTTACAGTGCTGGAAATACATGCACATCTTCTAAAACCCTTGTTTTAACGCTTAAAAGTGTTTGTTTTCTTTGTCCTCTTGATTAAAAATTCACAATGTGACATTATGAGACGATGGGTCCCTGGACACAGAAATACAAAAGGCCCAACCACCCACATAGGAGCAAGCTAAACAGAAGTTGTGTAGCATCTTCTGATTTAGTTTTGTGTCTCTTTTGTAGTTATTGTTTGTCATTTTGAGTCTCACTGTAGGCCTATGCGTCGATTTAGTCATTTGTTGTTTTTGTGGTAAATTTGAGTCTATTAGGTACATGTCTCCTTCAGTTACATTTGTATTTAAAAGCAACTGACAATGTTGTGCCCCAGGGCCTGTGCCTGATAGGCCTGTTTGGCAATACATTTATGCAAAAATGTAGGCCTAGTTTAAATTTGCAAATTAATTTATAGTGAATATAGAAAAAGGGCTATTAGGTAAAGTCGCCCTCTGGTGGTATAATTTCTAAATGAAGTAAATACCTATCCTTGTGTATGTCCTTGTATGATGGATAAATTGCATTAGGCAGCTTCTTAAAGATAAAACGTTTTCATTTGTCTTTTTCAAAGTACTGGGTTATGACACTGCAGAGATTCATGCAATAACCCATAATTTATAATGAATAGTAGCACCCTTTTATTTGAACAGCATGTTTATCTGTGCCATACCCAGGTCATAGGCTCATGTCTTTATCCCTTGTTGGTAGCATTTGAGAAAAGTCCAGAACCTGATGTTCCAAAAGGAAATATAGTTAGTAAATATTGTAATGAACATTTTATTTTTAAGTTGTCTCATGATCTTGATCTCCCATCATCTCTAGTTGACCATAAAGCAGGTTATGTAGACCTACATGATGTCACCTACAGTGTGGGTTAGTATACTTAATGGACATTACATTTTAAAAATAGTTTATACACCTTATGTAGGGGCAATTTTCTCAATAAGGTTAAGACAGATCTTATTCCATATGTATGCCCTTATGCCTATAGTCAGATATAAAACAGATTATGCAGTTCCTATAATTCCTTTAGCATATTTGACCCCTCTCTTTTTTACCTCCCAATTCATTTATACCCCTCTATATTATGAATCCAATGCAGCAAAGGACTTTTATTTTGAAGGAATCCCGGAATTCCTACTGTTGTAGCTGTACGAAGCTTGACTTATTTCCTCTTTTTTTTGCATGCAGGCTGCTGTTAAGTGTTCCATGTATATGCAAAAAGAAAGAACATACATTGAATCTAGGCGGAAGGCTATTTCACTTGTTACCAGGATAACTCGTAGTAGAGTGTGTACCTATAAGGGCTGAACACCGACAGCCCTCTGCTGCAGCAGCCGGGGTACAGGGCGTGCTGAGCTGCTGCTTCATATTAACTCACCGTATCGGTTCGAACGACTAACAAGCTTGTTATTGACTGATGAAGGCAGATAAGATCGTTTTCTCCGGACGCTTATCTTTATAAAACAGGACATGCGGAAGTCTGGCTGATCTAGCCTACATTGAATTACTTACATTAAAATCCCCTTTCCTCTAAGATAGCGCATAACAGATGCTCTGTTGTCGTCTGCATGTTGGTTGTAGCTCCATCACACAGGACCAGAAGGGCACTTGCTGCTTTTGGCTCAAATAACACCAAATATATAAAACTGTAATGCCTTAATACTTCATTAAATACAACAACATGAAGTAAAAAAGAATAGGCAACACGGTCAGATGGTGTGGTGGCACAAATTTGTCCAAGCATGCCATCCATAATGAAAAATTAAACTCTTTAATGGAGCATAGCATGTAGTTTTGTCAATAGCAGGCCCACATTTCTCCAAATAAAAAGGCTTAACATATCACCGACATAATAGAAAGTGCTGCTGTAACATAATTGCTAAATTGTCAACAGAGTGATCGTACATAAACACTTTCTTTCATTGTTTCTATAAGGTCCTGCAAAACAGAGCAGCTATCACATTTCTTTTCTCCAAATGATCAAATGAAATTAATACAGTACACTACAGTACACAGACCCAGCATGTTGCATTAAAAAGGAAAACACTCATGATGTCTTAAATTCAAATTGAACATAAAACGTATCAGTCCGATACAAACTGAGAAAGGGGCTCATGGATTCAGGGTTAGTATTCGTCTAAGTTATCGGCTTTTGGTATTGAAAGGCCTCGGTCCTTCAGTGCCAGCATTTTGACTTTCTCCGTCTCCTGTTTGGATTGCTGTTGCAACCTTTGCTCCTCCAGAATCTCCTCAATGGAGACTTGTTGAAGGACTGTGTCGGAGGGCTTATCCATATCCTGCATAGAGAACATTAAATCTGTCAACAGGCCTAATACAAAACTCATCAGACATCAGCAAACAGCTCACTGTACTTCCCATGACAGCTTGATATTAAAAGAGATAGTCAGTGTATTACACAGTAGAAAGCTACATGTGTTTAATCTGCCTAAAATGTATCAAAATCGTTTGTTATATTTAGAATACATCCTTGACCCTTCCATCAGAAAGACATCTCCGACAGGAAACTGGAGCAGTTATCTATGCTCTCTTCCAAAAAGGCAGGAAACAGGAGTTGCAGCCTTAATTTGTTAGTTTGTGTTCTATGTTTTAAGTCACTTCATTTAGTTCAGATTGACTAAAGTCACAGAACAATACAAACATTCCAACTAATTGAGGCTGCAGTTAAACCTGCAACTTGTGCATTCTTGGAGGCAAAATTAGTTTCTCCGTCAATGGAGTCTGGAGGCTTTGAAGAGAGCATAGATCAGGGGTGTCCAAACTAAAGTCGGGGGGCCAAATGCGGCCCGTTGTCCATTTCTAATTAGCCCTCAGCAAATTCTTAAAGTATAATGGTATATGGCCCAGACCTGAAACTCGTGCTTGTCTTATATTGTACTTCTTAAATATATATGCGAACCTATATTACACAGTAGTTTTCATGTGTTAATAAGCCCACTATTCAAAGACATGCAGTCAATTCAAACTGAGAACATGTTCTAGTACATCTTTGATTTATTTCCATAACAAGCTTTAAATAGACCCTTCATATTTCCCCTTATAAGCAATCTGAGGCTTCTGTTTTAAGGGATGAGCTGCAACAGGATAACTGACACCCTCTGGAGAGCTGTGATGTTTCATCATATTCAAGTAAAAAGCATAATTGACCTACATGTGATTGATTTTGCTTAATTGTAATTTAACCTATGAGGCAGTATACCTCACCTCTAGTGAGGGGCCCAGGCCTTTGTAAGTTTTTCTGTATAGTGGCCCTCAGTGAAAAAAGTTTGGACACCCCTGGCATAGATATTTATAACAGCTCCAGTCCACCCTCAGAAAGGTTTTTGTGGTGCAGGGTAAAGCAGTGAAAATATTCTAAATGAAGCTGCACTTAAAACGGATATGCCTTCTTTTTTTTCCACACCCATTAATGTGTCTGCATATAAACACATCTCACCTCTACAAACACAGCTGCAGCCTTGTTCACCAAACAAGGATTGTTAAAATTAATGAGCATTCGTAAAAATGCATAAATATATATTAATTAAGAGGGGCCAAGCTCTTTTGTTCTAATTTAGTTTGTAACCTTGTGATCTACATACATTCATAAACATAATGTTCACTGGTTGTTTCGATACAAAACAGGCAGTAGCCACTTATTAGTATTACCACTTATTGGTATTACTAGAACATAGAATAGGCAACACAAATGTAGAATGAACCATCTCTGATTATTAGACTGCGTTATGGTCCTTGGCCACTTTGTTATGTGAACCTCAACTGAAAGACTATACAAATGTGAATATACTGCTTGGCTAAATTAAAAATGGTATTGTGCAATGACCAAATATTAAGGCTGTAACAGTTATTTTCCTTATTGATTAATCTGCCGATAATATTCTAGGTTGAACGATTGCTTGGGCCATAAAACATATTTAAAAGTCTTGTCAGTCTTAAGCCCAAAGATATTGCATTTATCATGGTATAAAAGAAATGACCTAGATTAGACGAGCTCTAGTCACCACCCACTGTTGTTTGTTTTGCTAGTTGTACCATCCAAACACAGACACACACACACACAAAATGAGGATATTCCCACTTACTATCTCTCCAAGTAGCACTACATTCTCTCCTCTCACAATGAATATTCCTCTGGGGATGTCACCAAATTTTTTCCCCACGTGGATGCGTTCAACTGTCTGATGAAAAACTAGATTTGCTGTGGGGACAAGAGAAACAGGTTGGAGAAATAAACTGCTGAGTTAAAATGGCATTTTAAATCAAACTCTTCATTAAATAAACACATCAGGGGGTGGGATATCAACAATGGTATTTAGCCCATTTTTAAAGAGCCGATATTCTTTGGCTTGTGTTTTGAAGCCTTATTGAGTCAAAACAAGTGGTGGATAATTAAATAAATCATACCAAACTGATCAATGCTTCTGAGGTAACCGATCAGTGTCCTGCCATCTCGGAGCAGCACCAAGTGCTTCTCTGCAAAATAGACCAACACATGCATGGTTAATTAAAACATTAAAGCGGTTACAAATGATCCAGTTTGTGTCAGACACGATGCCTATCTTTGAACGTTTTCTCCGCCAAACCATCTCCATCTGCCGGAGCGGCTCCTCCGACAGGACTTACTGTCGATGTCGTCAATGAGGCTTGCCGTCCCTGGTACGTAGTTCATCTTGGGCTGCTTTTAATTTGCTTCTTATGCCTTTATGTAACGTCAAGCCATGAATGTTTCAAAATATGTTTCTCTGAAGTGAAGTACAGGAAGCGCCTTTATACACGCCCGGGATAAACTTCCTGTAGACACTTAACCCTTTCAGCACTGCTATTTATTTCATGTTGTCTTCCTTACATTTGTAGGTGTACTGTTTGAAGAAAATATATTTTAATAAATGTAAAACCAAAGATAAATATTAGTTATAGATACAAATATTCGTTAAAATGAGAAATATGATATATTTATGACGTGTTTCCTATCGGCTGATGCACAGGCGACACCAGAGATCGTATATAAAGACAGATTCGGAACAACTCAACACATTTGCTTGTGTAACATTATTAACACAAATGAATTGTTCTATCAAACACAGCCAAAGTCTCCTCCACGTAATGGAGGTAACACGGAATTTATTGATCAAAAGATATAACATAAAACCTTTTTTTTCCATATTTATTGAACAATTATTTCAGAAAAAGGCATGTGGGGCATATGAACAGAACACAGAAAAGACAAAAAATAAACAAAACACAAGTGGTCACTCAGGAATGAAGGTGTTTAGAAATGTGTTGAATTGATACTTTTTCACAATTTAACTATTTTTTTGTATCATTTCATTTCATTACGAAAAGCGACACATACTGGGGGGAAACCATAGGGGGAAACTAGAGAAAATGTCCACCACATTTTGTGGTTGCAGAAAACTAGACGCGGAGTGAGAGCTCTTGATTTCCTCTCGTGCTCTTCGTTAAAGAGACAGCACAGGATTGCTCGGAGCCATTCAATCATTTCCTGAATCCACTCAGACGATCTGTACTTCTGTGGAAAAAACGGCGACATTGTTGTCAACAGCTGGGACGAACATACGGCTCAGACAATAAACGTTAGACTTGTTAAAGGCTTTTACAATGGCAGATAACAGGACGGAAGCCGGGGAGCGCGTTTAGCTAATGCACCATCTTCAAATGCAGTCAAATCGGCCCTCGACTTGTAACTCGGGGAATACTAACCAGAACTGGAATAACACCATGGCAAGTGACACAGCTTCGACAAAGGGGGTTAGCCTCTGTCTTTTAAAATGTGTTTTAATTTTCATGTTTGTACAGAAAAGCGTATTCATCCTGCTAGCTCGCATTAGGTAAGAGCTCTATTCATGCTAGCTTCAAGGCTAACGGAGCTAGCTGGCATTATATAACGTTGATAGTAACCGCCACACTTTGTCACGTTCATCTGGACTTGACCCCACTGCTGATAATACTACAGTCGTATCAACCCGCACATGTTCAAGATATATCTTTCCTTAAATATTCAGCGTGGCATGGTTTCTGTTAGATGGTACATTAGTGCTGCTCTGTGCAAAACTGGTTCAGCAAACATATGTGTCAGTGCCAATGTTTACTCAGTTTCTTCACGAAGGTGAGGATTTCGAAAGCATTTACCATCTCCTGTCTGCTCGTACCAAGTACAGCTCACATTTAAAATGACTCCTGGTACTAAGAGACATTTTCAACTCCTTTGTTAAATGACCTAACACGTATGTAGTTTACTTATTCATGCATCACATGCATGAATAAGCACTGCAATTGTCATTTGCAGTGGTGTAAAGTAACCAGGTACATTTACTTTAGTACTGTTCTTAAGTACAATTTTGAGGGACTTTACTTGAGTATATCAATTTGTTGCTACTTTATACTTCCACCCCACGACAATTCAGAGGTTAGTCGTGTGCTTAACTCCGCTACATTTCATAAATAGCCTTAGTTACTTTACATATATGGATTAATGATGTGAAAAATTCTATTGAAATATATTACATTATTTTTACTTTTGGCACTTTAAGTATGTTTTCATGCCAGTACTTGATTAAAATTTTGAATGCAGTATTCCTACACTCTGGTACTTTTACATTTACTTAAGTACAACATTTGACTACTACTTCGACCTCTGATCATTTGAAATAGTCTATTGCTCTATGTTATGTATTTGTATGTGTTAAATATATATTATATATGGTGCATTGTTTGAGACGCTTGGGCAAATAAGCTATCCATTGCAATGTGACAATAAAATATATAAATCTTGAAAATATTCTGTGTTCACAGGACGCTCCTCAGTATCCAGGGTACCCCTCACATTACTGGTATCCGGAGTCTCATGCAACAGGACACTATGCAAACACCTATCCATCGGGATCAGATGTCCCACCACAGTACAATCAACAGGTAGAACATAAACTGGCCCTTTTTTTAATCCTCGGGTGTACAGTAGCAGTAAATCTGCTCATTATCCTTAAGTCTCTTAAGTGCTTTCACCCTTCCCTCACATATTCTAATGCCTATGTTGTAACAATTACATCACTGTGATACAGTAACACACAGATAAGGGAGGGTCTTAAATGAATCCCCATCTCTTGTGCTTTCGATGAAGTTAATGCCTGCAGGTTATCCAAATGGCCATGGTGTCTACAGCCCAGCGCAGAACCAATACTCGACTAGTGGTTTCCACCCGTCCAACCCGTTTTACTGTGCTGACACTCAGAGACAGGCTCCAGGGCCGTACCCCAACCAGGCCTGTCCTGCCGAGCAGAGCAGTGGGCCGTCTGGGCAGCCCCACCCCCAACACCAGCATCATCACTATCCTGGTCCACAGTGTCAAGGGGTGAGGACATTCGTAAAATATGAAACGATATTAAATGTTGATATCGTCACAGTCAGTGTTTAATGACCTTAGTTCCTTCTCGCCATCATCTCGTATTATTCATGGGAAAACTGTTGTTGATCAACATTTTTGGGGTACCTTGAGAAAATACAGCATGAATGAGGTGTGAATGGATGAATAATGACTTGTAAATGTACAGCACTTTTAGTAGCTGTAATGACAGGATAAAGCGTTGTATAAATACCATTTAAGTCCTCTTCTCATTTACCATTTCTTCATAGATTTTGATTATAAAATGAACACTGCTCTGCTTCCAGGGTCCTGGATATCCTACTGGGGCATACCCTCACTACAGTGAAGGAGGTCATGCAATGCCCGCAAACCCCCCGTACCCCACTGGCCAGCCCCTCCACCCTAGCCCCCAGTCTGATGGATGGACGCACTCTGGAGTGTATGCCCCCCCACAGCAGCAATGGCAGCCAGGCCAGCAGCCTCCACAAAACCACTACGGCAATCCTGTCCGTCCGTCCCACCCTCCAGCATGGCCCGGGACTGGAACTGGAGCTCCACCACCTTACCAACCCAAGGTATGATCGGCTTGATTCCAATGTGGTTGTCATGACTCATGGTTTTTATTTAGGGGTATTAATGAAAAGATAGGCTGATGTAAAAAAACTCACAAAGTATCGCGATTCTCAGGCACTCAGACCCCACGCAGCATTCTCATCTGTTTGTCATTACTGGTGTCCTTTTCTGGTTGCTAACAAACGCCATTGTAACACATAAACCAACATCACAATTATTTACATTATTACAGTGGGCTCATAGGGAGGGGGGGGCAGGAGCTCCAACAAGGTGTGTAGGACAGAGAGTGAATACACATACTATACAGAGATGCTGTATGTATGAGAAGTTTGGAAAATTGCAGAATATAAATCTATTTTAGTATACCTCAACAATGGAATTATGATCAGCAGAAATGTCCATGACATGGGACCTTTTTAAATCGGTTGAAAATGAAATTGATAGTGTATGATTTTACAATTCTTATAAAGCAGTTTTGATGGATGAAAGTAGGAGGCGTGTAAACAGAGGTGAAATGAGAGTTGAACGGACTTTGAACTGTTGTTTGAACCTTTGTCACTTGACTAGTTCAGAAAATTGTCGGTTGTTGTTATAGTGTCAACATAAGTCAGTCACATTCACTTTTTTGAGAACTTTATTTTGCCTACTGTCCACTCTAAGCCTGTGTTTTCCTTGTATCTGACTTGCTAATAGAAATATTAAGCAAGGCAACAAAGATAGTGCCCATAAGACACCTCTCCATGCTTTTAACTACTCCACTACTTGTATGGCCTTTACTGAAAAAATTTACATAGTCACTTGCCATAAGTTGATTTTCCAGACGTAAGCCAGCTACATCCGTCACTTTTCTTTGCAATGGCAACATAAAAATGGCCATCACTCAAACCACCCTGCTATGTTGATATGAATTCTATGCATTAAGCCGACTAGAACTAGTTCCAGGACATATAGGAATTACGTTTTATGAAACCAAATCCATATCAAAAGGTCAAATTCACAATAATACAGGCATAAAGGAGTATATGTACATATGGGTTAACATGGTGTAAAGGGGGTTTTAAGATTTAAGGGTTTCCAAATATCTTGACAGTCTTTGTTTTTATGTTGTAGGACCAGCAGCACCAACGTGCCCCACAAGTGGGACCTAAACCCAGGCCAACCCCATCCCTGAATGCCCCCAGTGGAAAGCCTGCCGAAATATGTTCACCTCCCCAATTGTACAACAAAAGCGGGAGAGGTGATCCTAATCCTTCTCAAGCTGAGCCCCTGCCCCAGGCGCCGGCCCCAGCTCCAGCTCCAGCCCGGGCCGGACCCCAACCCCTGAGCGATAACCCCAGCCTCGCCAAGGTCCAGCTGGTCATGGCCAGAATGATGCTGCTGCAGGAAGATGTGGATGAGTTTGTTGGCAGAAAGTCGGAAAAGAGTTATCGTGTTCTGGAGGAGCTGCTGACCAAAGAGCTGCTGCTGCTGGACTCTGTGGAGACTCAGGGACAGGAGACCGTCCGGCAAGCCCGAAAGGACGCTGTGCAGAAGATCCAGGCCATATTGGACCAGCTGGAGAAGAAAGCCTTCTGAACTGGACTTATTTACTGGTTTGTCGGTCTCTAAGTCTTGCTGTTTTCCTCTTCCAGATCTTCCATGGACACAATGAAGGTCTACTCTTCTCTATTCTTCTCTCTTGAGGGTTTTTCCACAACCATGATATAAAATGCCTGAAATAACTGGCGAAATGGAATCAACCTTGTAAAGCCTGATAACACTGGTATAATTGTGTTAGAAGTGCAGACTGACGGTTGTCATAAGTTACTTTGAATCTCATTGAGTGACTCTATTGGACACACAGCCGGACACTCTTACTCAGCTTTTTCTGTAATGTCCTGCCTTTGCCAGCATAATGCAGGGCTGAGTGACAGAGAGATGCATTTATTCACATTTTCATGCTGTCCCTCAGGATTGTGGGTGGGTCCGATCCTACATCTAAGAACGTCATTCCCCGTCTATTATTTCATCTCATAGTCCGTTTGCATGATATGTCGCCAACCCTGATAGAGGCCAAACAGTTAGTTGTCCTTAGTCCCATGTCTCCGCAGGAAGACGTGCAACGCTTTTCTTTGTTAAATAGTGCTCCCAGCCCTGCATGCACTCTAAAGTCCGACAAACATTAAATACACTCATGAGATCTAAAAGAAAATGACCGGGCATGGAGCGTAGCAGATTTGCGAAAACCCTCTAAAGATCGCTGTCCCTATTATTCCAGATTTTGGATGAAATGTCCTCCTACCTGCGGACCTAGAATCCAACCTATATATGAATGCCATGTATTTTACTCTAGGAACGATAGTTACGGCTGTAACTATGGTTCTATGAGTCCCAGATGACTGCCAAAGGCGGTGCTTTTAGCACTGGATATGTCCATCGCACGCATGCGCAGTTCGAGTACCAATAACAACAAAGTTACCTGTGACCCACGTGACTACGGCTACATAAGCCGGCGTCATTAGTGGATCGGTTCCCAGAATCTTCTCGCGAGCACACAAGAATTCTGAGTGACCGGAAACTCTGGCGGTCATCCGGGACTCATAGAACCGTAGTTACAGCCGTAACTATCGTTCTATTTCGTCCCTACTGACCGTCAGAGGCGGTGCTTTTAGCACTGGATGACTATACCAACCATGTCATGAAGAATCCNTTTAAATGGTTTTGAGAATACTGGTTTATTTAGAAAGCAAATATAATGTGTGTCTGTGCACCAATCAGGGCTTAAAACACGTTTAAATTAGAATATTTGTATTTGATTAGAATCTAATAAGTAGGTGGGTTGTTCAGTTACTGTCAATGACATTTGATTTATAACAACACAGAAAATGTGTAGATTTTTCTGAATGTTAAACTCATTGACATTATACATTAAACTCTTGATAAATAGTACTTAAATGAGATCGTTTTTAAAAATCCCGAATTTAAAATAATACATCAAAAGAGGGATACAAATAGTAATTTCTAACAACTCTACATTTACATTTGTAACACGTTGCAGATGTTAAATATTTTCAATTCCGGTGTACACACGGACATCTCACACATATGATGTCAAACATAGATTTTCACTTTTGAAAGAGTATTCAAACGTGTGTTTACATAAACATGTTATATGAGCTCTCTGAATCTTTTTACTTACCTTCTCCTGGTTGAAGCCGAGGGAATCACGGCAGGTCAGAGGGAGACTTCCCTTTTATAAGACTGACCAGAGCTGCTGAACTTTGTCTTTGTTTATTCATCATCTCAACCTCATATTTGCTCTGCTCCCAAATTTGCTCGGTGTAGCGGTAAATCTGTGTAATGATTACTATTACTGACTAACCATGGAATCAAACTGCACGGATAAAAGCACAAGTCAAGCTACCACTGTCATCAGCATGTACAAAAACATGTTAGTGCTAAGTGTCTATTTTCTCACTCCCCTGTTAATTAGTGAACCGACATAAGTTAAATCTTTATTCAAACTATTAGTACTTTGGCGTCAAAGAGTAGCAGTATGAGCAAAAGTGGGAGAATACCATCTTAGCAATCATTCTGTGATATTTGCACCGAACAAGAACATTTCTTTTTGGCCTATACATAACAAATCAGATCTCTGAAAACTAAAGCAAAGCTTCCCTCTCAGAGGACATAAACACAGCAGATTAGCTCATTGTGTTGAAATGTGTTCATGTTGATAAAGCAACTTGAAGCATTTTATAGTCCCGCCAAAAAAGGCAAGCAGAATCAAACAGAGCCTGAGGGAACTGAAAAAGCTGGAAAGCTGATCAGAACAAGAAAATTAAGCCTTGCCCATAAAAGAAAAAAGCAGGGATTAAATAAGTTCAGAATGCAACAAGAGGCAGCCCAACAGATGCTGAAAAGATTAGTAATATCTCTGAAACTCATTGAAACAGAAACATGGAGACATGTCTCACAACTAGTCTCTCAGAATAGACACTTTGCACACATGGACTTGTAAAGAAACTTTTTTTTAATAAAATGTTTATTTTATGTGATATTGTTTCTGTATGTAAGTAGCAGCGATTGTCTGCAAGACATTTAAAAAAAAAAACACCACACAATTCATTAACATGTACAAATTGATAGAATATATAGTAGTACTAGAAGTGCTTTTAAATGTATCTCAAAATAGAATAATACGCGGCACACTTGAGCTTTCTTTACCATGTTATTTCCCTCATGTTCTGGATCTGCTCAACATGCTACCCAGCAGCGTTCAGTGTTTGCCAAAGAGCTGGCCGTCCAGTCTGATGAGCTGTCGGAGGAAACCTCGATTAGGGATGACCCCCCGGTTTTGTTTCACCGCACAAATGGCCTCCACGAGGCCCAGGTTGTGCTTCAGCATCAGGTAAGCCAGGACCAGGGTGGCAGAGCGGCTCACTCCTACATGGCAGTGCACCAACACTTTGCCTGGGAAACATAGAAACATAGCAATGATGGCTGGGCCATATTATATCTATACTTTATCAATATAGTGAAATGAGACTAGATATTGTTTAATATGTTGGATTATTGTAAGTGTTGTCTTATCCTGAGTTGAAAGGCTAAATTACAGTAAAGTGATTTAATTTTCTTGATTGACCTAACTCTTGTATTATTTGGCTCCACCCACTTATCATTTTATTTATAAAAATTGTCATTGTGTAAAGATTTTATGAAATCATGAATGGTTGGCCCAACAATACTGTCACAATAAATATATAAAGTATTTGGTAAATACAAAAGACTTGATATAAACTGAGGTGAAGCTAAGAAGTCCTGCATACTGTGTGTCTCTGTGAGCTTAAATGAAACATATTTGTTTCTTGAAACAAAGTAGAAAGGGATTAGTGGAGAAATCATGATAGGAGGAGTACAATTGATCATTTAACTAATGATTTTTGTGAGTTTCTTAAGCTACTCTGCAGACCAGATCAGTGTACTGTAGTCTTTTAGATCTACAGTTAACCTATTCATTTTTCTGTGGAATCAGTTTAACTACATATTTCAGCTAAGAATCTGAAACCATCTTGCCAGTTGAAGATTATTTTTATAAGACAACTGCCTTTAAATTAATGTTCTACCCCTCCCCTCACCTCCTCTGCGGAGAGCCCTGTGGATGAAGTCTGCTGCTGCCCTGAAGTTGACGCTCATGTCAAAGCCACAGGAGTCATGAACCTCTATGCCCATGTATGTGATCTCCATGCACTCGTAGATTTCTGGCTGCACCCCCCGTTTGCTGTGAGCTGCATTCAGGATGTGTGTGACTCGATGCTTGGTGAGATTGGCCCGGTTCTCTGCACTGTTCCTGAAAAACGCAAAACTCTGAATTCACATATAACAGGTCGAATATACAGACAAACAGAGCAGGTGTTTCTCGAGGAAACACATGCATGTAAAGTATTTCATAGTGATAATTGATATTTAAAAGACAATTTCAGACATGCAAGTTGGAATCATGCATGACCGAGACATGCTTTCATGCCAACACATCAGTGGAAACTCTCACATAGCATAACTGTAGTTTACGCATGCTCCCAATGCGGAATGCAACATGGGGGGGTCTTAAGTTACTCATACCCCATTTAAATCTGATTCATGATCTGTTCCTCTTACGCCTATGTGGACTATATCAAATTCTAGACTTGGGTAATATTTGTTGAAATGTCTCACACACAATATTTGGAAAAATATAGTACAGCAAAAAGTTACAAGGACATGCTCCACTTTAATGAGGCAATCGGCTGGATAAAAAGTAAGTAACTTACTGGTCACCGATATACAGCCTTGGCCACACTTCGTCTGCATGGCTGATGATTGCTTTACCTGTAAACAAGAGTCTTTCCAACTCAAACACCGCCAATCCAGGTGAACTCAGGTCAATTTCCACCTTCCGAGGGGGAGGCGTATCATTCCAGGACGCGGGAAGTTTGGATGTGTAGGACATCACGTTTTCTGTGTGCTTCTCTTAGCACAGGGTTTTCTATGAGGCAACTTCTGGTCCTTTAAAAGCAAACAGTACAAAAAATCAAAAAGAAAAAACCTACATGCAGTTTGAGGCCACGTCTATCAGAGGAAAATACAGTTTTTCCAACAGGCTTTTTAAACTGTGTCAAGCTACCAGCACAAATGACCCAGGTGATTCCAGGCTCCGGCTTCTTTGCCTCAGATGTACTCGGCACAGGGTGCTCTAAGGTTTGTCAGGCCATGTGACCCTCACATTAAATCTATCCCAAGCCCCAAAGCCACTGGGGGCCTGTGTTGTGCTTTTGCATTCAAATAGCTGTCTATTTAAAGGCCTGTATGCTGAGTGGCAGATGGAGGGAGTTTGGACCCATGCAGCAGTTTCCACTTGACAACCAAAACCAGGCTATTTTTCTATTCTTTAAAGAAGCAATATACCTTTTTGTCTTTCACGTTTATAATTTCTAATAAATGTTTGATAGTACATAGATTGCTTCAGAATAATGACCCCTTGCATTTTGACTGGTTGCATTTTAGCCTTACCTTCACTATACAAATCTGTCCTTGCTTGGTGCGATTTACTGGGAGAATAAAGGCTTTAACGTCAAAAAGGAATCCTGTATTGTACAACTGCAACAGGAAATGGATTGCGATTTAGTTTTCCCTGGTAGTAAACCTGTGTTAGGTTATTAGCAGTAATTATCCCCTGAAATGGAAAGGGTGGATAGTGGAATAACAGAAGTAACAGTTGACTTTGCGACTGTGGTGATGGCACTAACACCATTTGAAAAGACTAGCAGGGGGAGTGATGAGAAGTCTGTTTGCACTTTTAAAATGTTGTTTCCATTTCTTTTGAAGTATGAAACTGGCTTTTATTAATTGCCATTTTTAATATAGAGCTAAATATTTCTTAAATTTGCTCTGTAACGTCTATTTTTGAACAATAATAAACAGCGAGAAAGATAATAAATTCATTTGATCACAGATAGAAAATATATTGACATTTAATTATTTCTCTGTTCTTTTCTCAATTTCAATACTTGTCAGGCAAGGATTTCCATCTTGTGTTGGAAACATGCATTACATCTGAAACTGTAAAGTTGTGCTCCATAAAACATAACAGCACAGGGAAATGAACACATAGGACAGGTGTTTTTTTTCATGCAAAGCTTGTCATCTTCATTTTATTTTATTTTATAATTAAAGCCATCCCCTGAAATATGGCACTCCTTTTTTTCTAAATCAACACATCAAGATGATTGGAAAAAAAGTCTACTCTACACAAGAAAACTAATAATTGTGGAAAACAGGATATTGGTGCGGCAGTAAACAGAAACAAAGTCCAAATCAAACCCTTTTTACTCACAAGTGCTGCAATCAATATTGTCCTTAAGCAGAAAACATTACTGAAAAAGTTGATCCTTTTCTTTATCTTTTGAGCAATAATATTGAACACTTCATCCTGAAAATACAATTAACTTTCCTGTAGTTATTTATATATATATATATATATTCCAAGTGTTCCAAAAGGGATTGAAATAACTATTGATCAGTTTTTCAAGTAGTTCTTAAAGTGTTCCTTATGTATCTGTAATAACAGTAGTTCCTAGAGTAAAATACATGGCATTCATATATAGGTTGGATTCTAGGTCCGCAGGTTGGAGGACATTTCATCCAAAATNACTGTACACGCCATTACATTACATTGTATTTAGCTGACGCTTTTATCCAAAGTGACTTACAGTAAGTACATTTGACCAGGAAGATACAACCTTGAAGAATTTCTTCAAGGTTGTATCTTCCTGGTCAAATGTACTTACTGTAAGTCACTTTGGATAAAAGCGTCAGCTAAATACAATGTAATGTAATGGCGTGTACAGTAGGAACCTCTTCTTTGTCATTAAAGGGTTAGGAAAATATGTGTAAGGCCTTTAAAACAATATCTTTAATGTATCTTCCAGGAAAATCAGTTGGCTATTGTTTCTCATGTAAAAAAAATTCTTTGTCTTTGCCTTGCTATTGGATTTTAGATAGTAATGGGGGACATAGAGGGGAAGACAGGCCACAAAGGTCAGTTTTGAACTCTGGAGGGGCGCTTGCTAAAGAGGCAGCCCCCCCCCTCCCAGCAGCAAATATTGTGTAATCCAAATGAACAATGTACTTTTGAACTTTGGTCTTAGGTCACAATGATGCATGCCGCCTTGGGGATATGGATCTTATCAGCAGTGATCTGCGTGGGGAGAGGAGATCACCATTATGGCCACAGTCAGGGAGACCAGAACACCGGACCTGAACCCAGCGCCGCCAGCCTCTCTCTGTTGAATTCAGCAAACAAACAGTTCTCCTTTGAATTGTACAGCAAGTTAGCAGCTCATATTGACTCAGCGGGAAAGAACATCTTCTTCTCCCCAATCAGTGTGTCTCACGCCTTGGCTGCCTTGTCCGTAGGAGCACGGCGTATGACCCACAGTCAGATATTCAGCGGCTTGGGTTTCAACAGCACCCTCTTGACACAGGAAGAAGTTAATCAAGCTTTCCATAAACTTCTAGAAGAGACAAACAGCCCATCTCAGAAAGAAGTCAGCGAAGGGACTGCTGTATTTATAGACAACCGCCTCAAACCAAAGCCTGAGTTCCTGGAGACCTTGAAGCAGTCCTACTTTGCAGAGGGGTTCAATGTCGACTTCACCCAAACCGCAGAAAGTGCTGATACCATCAATAAGTATGTGGAGGACAAGACCAACGGGAAGATAAAGAAACTTGTCGAGGGCTTGGATCCAAGCACAGTCATGTATCTCATCAGCTACATCTACTACAAAGGTATCAGGTTTCATGAGAAGAAGAAGAAGATCTGTTTGTTATTTTTTTCCTGCACATTTAGAGCTGCAACCCCGAAGCAAGACAGCATTTTTCAATCTATTCATTCAGGGCTGTTTTGCTTTCACACAAAAATCCACATTTATTTATTATTTATTGATTTTACTTACTTTTGCATCTGTAGATTTCTACTGAATCCATTTGGACTTCATCATGAATGTGAATAATCAAATACAACATTTTTAGAAAAATATGTCATACAGTAAATAAGTGTCTTAATGTAAGTAATCAACTTGTTGATTCCAAAGTGACATTGTTTATTTTAATATTTTTTACGCCATTCACTCTTAGTGTCTTGCGACTTATGCTTACCCTTTGTCTCTTTGAAGGCAGTAAACTCTAGATGATTTTTTGTCATACTTTGAGCCAGAAATCTCCATTTCACTGGCAATTACGTACACCAAAGTTTTACTCCGATCTATATTCTGAAGGTTAACAGAGGGGTTTGTTCTTAGTTATAGCCTGGTCTATGTGATTCCTAAAAACATTGCAAAATATTATTTCCCCCAAAATATCCTGTTTTAAACCCTTTATTACTTGGTCAAAATGTTAACCACAACATTTGTTTTACTACCTGCTCATCATCCAACAGGAACTTGGGCGACTCCATTTGATGCTATGCGAACCAAGGAGGATATCTTCAATGTGGATGACAACAACAAGGTTCAAAGATGTAGCATTTATCCAGAATGGTTTTGAGTCTCAGTAAATATAGATAACTGAGCATNACAGAGGGGTTTGTTCGTTTAGTTATAGCTGGTCTATGTGTATCCTACTGAAGACACCGGAAGTATCCTGTTTTGAAGACACTTGCTAGTACATTGTTTACTACCTGCTCGCTCATCAACAGAACTTCGGGACTCCATTGTGAGTTGCGTATGCGTAACCAGAGGAGGATATCTTCGAATGGTGTGATGCGACAACAACAAGTTCAAATGATGTAGCATTTATCCAGAATGGTTTTGGTAGTCTCAGTAAATATAATAACGAGCATTCTGTATGTGTTCTTTTCTGATCCAGACACCTTCAAGTTTGATATTTTTGCAGGTTGCATGTCCAGATGATGAATATGGAGATCACTTTTGATCCTATTACGACTCAGCAATCAACACGTCAGTCCTCCAACTGCCCTTCAACAGCACTCTGCCATGCTGCTGATTGTTGGCGAGACATGGCACGCTTGGAGTCTCGACCATTTGCCCAGGCCATGTCACCAAATGGCTGAAGTGATGGAGGGCGAAGGTTTGGACAAATCTATAAAATCATCATCAATTTCTTGTTTCTAACATGGAAGTTTGCACTGTAAAAACTCAGCTGGTGTCCTGGTACGATCACTTATTTCTGTCAGATCATCACTTATTGTTTGCCTATTTCTCATTTTATTTTAGGAGATATGATGTCTTTATTCCAAAGTTCTCCATCAAGACCTCCTACACACTGAACGATGTGCTGATCTCAATGGGAATGACCAATATGTTTAGTGATCTTGCAGATTTTAGTGGCATTTCAGAGGGGCGAAAACTGGCAGTCTCAGACGTAAGATCACATATTTCACACACATTTTCTTCCCTACATTACATCCATCTAACTTTATCTCTGTTTCACTGCAGGTTGTGCACCAAGCTACCCTTGATGTCGATGAGGCCGGAGCCACAGCTGCAGCAGCCACAGGCATCGGCATCACACTTATGTCCTTCCAGAGCATCCCTGTCTTGAAGTTCAATCGTCCATTTATGGTTACCATCGTTGAACGCATCACAGAAAACATCCTTTTCTTGGGCAAGATCATCAACCCGGAAATCTGATGGGATACGCAGATTTGTATTTGCTTGAGCAAAGCAGTGACATCACATATAAAAAACCCTAAAACAAACGTTGTTCTTTGGTCTTCATTTTGTGTTGCAGAAACAAAGAGTATTTGTTCTAGTTCGTGAAGGTCAAATTAGGCTGGGATGAAAATATTAGCAACGGCTATCAGCTTTTATTACACATGCAATAAAATCAGAGACTTTGTAGATTATTTATTAGTTTATACTCTAACTATCTTTTCTGCAGTTTCTTCCTAACGAAAACCCCCATGTTTTCATGGCAGAACACTTATTTATATATTTCTCTCATATATATATATTAACCCTTTTTTCTAAGATGTTTAATACATGTGGGGTATGTGCTACTGAATAGGATATTTATTGTTAAGAGAATAATACAAAAAATTGATTTATTATGAATTAGGCATATTTCATGCAAATTATTGGTGAATTTAGGACGAATCTATAGACTCTTTATACATATTTAATCAACAATTAAGTGTGTATATATGTTTTTACGGTAGTTTGCAATAGTATTACAGATTAAGTACTGTATTGTTATGTTGTGTTTGTACTATAAATATATTTTAATTATAATACTGTCGTGCTTTAACTTGGGTAAGATTTTTTCATTAAGTATTTTTGCTTCTAAGCAAGTGTTTCTACTCTACTTCTACTTTTTGAATGTTTAAATTGTAAAAATATCTGAGTAGCCAACTTCAGAGCCATATAATAGATTATATCTATAATGGCGCTGGCCAATTTATTTCCTCCAATTCTGTTTGCCTGTAGTCTCCTCGTGGGGCTGTGGGTAGCAGCAACGCACCTCGTGTAGTCTGTTCTGCGGGAATTAACAAATCCCACGAAGAAGAAGTTTTTCGTCTTTTGATTGGACGTCTGTAAGTTTGTTTCAGACATGGCCGAAACAACGGGAGAGGGACCTCAAGGAGCACCATTTTTTAACAAGGACAGAATTAAAAACAGCCCCGAGGAAGAGGCCAAGCTGGAGACGAAGCATTTCTGGAGAATAATCGATGCTTTTAGATTGTACAGGTATAACAGTGCTTAAAAAAAAAGTACCATCCAAGTGACCATTTTTTATCAACAAACGTCCGTTAGCATAATGATTACCGTAAAGGACAGATAATAAGGTTGGGAGGGAAGGTTGCTAACTGATAATTTCATTTGTACGAAATAATTGGCTAGTGTTTATTATAGTCATCTTGTGTAGAAACAGCTATTGATTGCATTTATTTCCTAATGTTCTGACTTTAGCTCCAATCCTGTCATGGCACCACATCTTCAACATGTTCCATCCTATCTCCCTTAACACTTAAAATATACATAATGTAGTGCAGCAATCATATTTAAAGATAACAATTGTACTAATGAATAAAGGAACCATTTCGACCACACTGTAGAAACACACTGCCTCCATAAGCAGTCCTAACCCCATTTTCTTCCCAGATGAGTGACCTGTGTTATCCCTCTGGGCACTCCTGACATGACACATCTTGTGAATTGTGAATTTAATTATGTCTTGTCTTTTTACCAGGGTCAACATCCAGGAGCATGTCAAACGTGCCGAGCGTCAGTTTCTGAGCCTCCCGAAGCATCACCAGGATTTGCTGCCAGATGTTTTGTCCAACCTGGCCCGGATAAGCCAGTGTGCGGACCACAACCAGGACATTATGCAGGCCATCATTCACAACAGCTTCCACATGTTTGAGAACATTGAGTACGGCGAGAGGGTAAGCTTTACTTCACCAGTTAGTATACATATAAAGTGTTCAGCTTGATTCAGTATGCATCATTAGTTCCATAGGGGCGATTTCTACAGGCATGTAGAGAAGTACATTAACAATATTATACAACAGATGTGAAAGGCAAGGAGCCAACTCTCCACATTTGTGAAATTATAAAAATAATTGATAATCTTTGGGTAAAAAACACTACACATTAAAACAATTATGATATGAAGAAGAAAAAACATTTTGTAGAGTGCATTAAAGATTATCATTATCTTCATTATACATTTGGGCTGTAATTTACAACAATTGTTATTATTGTCTCATCATTTGTCGACTATTCATGAATTCATTAGGTTTGTGGTAGAAAAAGGAGTTAAAGATTGTTCCATGTTTTCTAAAGCCACTGAGATAACTATACGTTGTTCTGTTTACTGTCATAGAGCAGTTATGACACTAGAAAATAATCCCATTTAAGAAAGGGGAACCAATTTGGCAACACATTTTTAGTTGACAACTAATTGAATAATCCTTGTAGCTTTGTTTAAAAATAGATAGAGGTCTGCATTTGAATCATTATGTAGTGCTGTATTTTAGATTTCTGCTGTGGTCTTTTTTTAATAAAAACGTTTCCCCCTCTATTTAACTTCCAGGAGGACCCGCGGAAGGTGCGTCCCTCTACAACGTTTGACATGGACAAACTTAAGTCCACCATAAAGCAGTTTGTCAGAGACTGGAGCGAGACTGGCCGGAAAGAGAGGGAGACCTGCTACAAGCCGATCATCCAAGAGATCCAAAAAATATTCCCAAGCGACCAATGGTAGGAAACATTCATGCTTACCCACCTGCATGCATGTCAACACATACCAATATGTGGATACTAAATGATACAAGCTAACATTTTTATTTTCTTCATGTAATAATATTTTGTTGTCATTTTGATGATGTGACTTACTCCATGTTTTCCATGTGATATGTGCATTTTGTACATTTTATTATGTCAGTGATGTATCTAAGGTGAGCGTGCTGATTCCGGGCGCTGGACTCGGCCGTCTAGCCTGGGAGATAGCACGTCTGGGTTACATCTGCCAAGGCAACGAATGGAGCTTCTTCATGCTCTTCTCTTCAAACTTTGTTCTCAATAGGTACAGTATTCACTGCCACTTCCAGCTTCCTTGACACAACATTTAGGGACTATAACCTCACACATAATTCTACATCTTAACCTTGTCAGTGATCACAAATTAAATCATGTTTCATATTAAATTGTTTGGCGGTGCATTCTGCCCTCCTGCTATGTTGAATACCACTTACATTCATCCACTTGTACATTTGGACTGCTCTATTCAGGTGTGAAAACGTGAACTCTCTGACCCTGTACCCCTGGATCCACCAGTTTAGCAACAACAAGAAATCCTCCGACCAAACACGACCAATCACATTCCCCGATGTCAACCCTCAGAGCTTGCCACTAGATGCAGACTTCTCCATGGTAGCTGGCGACTTTGTGGAAGTGTACAGGGACCCAGGTCAGTAGCAGCTGTGTGGACGTTTTGCAATTTTTCAAATGGTCTTTCAGGCAGAGCTTTCTCCCATATTGTATGTTTCCGCAAGCTCAGCAAAACATTTGAATTTTTTGTATGTATAAAAACGTTTTGTACGGTCTTGCAAATCTTGTTATTTCTAGCTTCAATTAACCCAGAAAATATTTCGGATTATGTTTCATTATTACACTTTACAATTACCCCAAACAAAACTGACCATCCCAAACTGTTCTGTAAATGAATTTAAAAATGAAATCGTTGCCGCATTGTGCACTTCGAAACATTATTCAATGTGATCATGTTATAATATATTTTCTTCTTGGGTTAGATTCCTGGGACTGTGTGGCTACCTGCTTCTTTATAGACACAGCTCATAATGTCATTGAGTATGTGGAGACTATCTGGAAGATTCTTAAGCCTGGTGGAGTGTGGATCAACCTGGGTGAGTCAACTTTTGTAAAAAAAATTAAAGAAACATATATCTTTGTAAACTTTACAGACAAATACAATTATTTCTATGTGTAGAGAACAAGGTATTTGGACTGGTTAAAAATGTTTACCACCATACACTTGCAAGTAACATATGTTTACATTATATCATAATAGGTTTTCTATCAACTTTTGCATGTATTTACTTATGTTCCTACTTTGCTCAGCTTAGTTCAAAGCTTAAATTGGGCAATTTTTGCGTTAAAGCTGCAGAACGTTCTGCTATTAAGCTTCACTTCAAAGCATTACTAATGCCATGTATTGTTTAATTTTTATCTGCAAATGAAAGAAAATAACACAACAGAATGTCACTGAATAGGATGTACATGCATGTTAACCTTGTGGGTTACATTTTTTATATTGAAATTAAAGTTGTATAAAAAAAAAGGTTTTACGGTTTGGGTCTCAGTAAACTTATTTCAGAGTTTAAATTCAATGTTTCTTCAGGTCCGCTGCTGTACCACTTTGAGAACATGGCCGACGAGCTGTCAGTTGAACTTAGCTACGAAGACATCAGGACAGCGATTGTCAACTATGGCTTCCATATAGAGGTAAGCAACAAAGGACTTTTATTTATATTCATGGGTTAGCATTATGTTTGTCTTCATACATCTTGTTCCAGTTGTAAAATAGTATTTCTATTTGTGCTGCAGGTGGAGAAGGAGTCAGTTCATACCACATACACGGAGAACGACCACTCCATGTTGAGATACATTTACGACTGCGTCTTTTTTGTGGCACGAAAACCTGCAGACGTGTACTGTAACGGTCGAGAAGAAGAAGATGACCATCTACAGAGCACCCCACCGGCTGCTAAGTCCCCACGACGAGAAGGTACTGACACCATGACGTGACAGGAAATCATTTGGCACTTAGAGGCATACAACCATTGACTGAGCGAAGACAAGACCAACAAAAAGAAAAAGGATACAGAAGGGAAAAAAAGCAGTGGACTAATACTTTCTTTTTTTCTGATTCATTTGGAAATCACCTTTTCATCTAAAACATCTAAATACTCCACATCTCTTTCTAACTGGGTTTGAGGAGTTATTTACACTTGCTTGCCTTTTGCTTAAGTTGCTTGTGCTCCAGCTTACACTGCCTGCGCTCTTACTAATTCTCATTTCCATTGACTTTCACTGCCTGAGAGTGTGTGTGTGTGTGTGTGTGTGTGTGTGTGTGTGTGTGTGTGTGTGTGTGTGTGTGTGTGTGTGTGTGTGTGTGTGTGTGTGTGTGTGCGAGCATTAGCTTTTGAAATATATTTATTTTTTCACATAT